CAGGCTCTCTGCCTCCCCCACTGCAGTGCTCTGGCTGGGGAGTCCCCCAAAGCTACGACAGCTGCACCTGCCGCCCTGCTCCGTTCCCATCTGCTCTGGCATCTCGCCGGGCAGGATGCCATGGGGCACCTAACGCCGCCGGAGCTGTGTGCACCCCCTGGGTGTGATCCTGGGGGGGCACATGCCGGGGGGCAGTGTAGGGTGTGTGCATGCACCACAGGGTGTGTGTGTGTGTCTGTGTGTGTGTGTGCTGTGTGTGATGGGTCTGTATATGTGTGCTCTGTGTGTGTGTGTGCTATAAGTGTGTGCTGTGTGTATGTGTAGGTGTGTGTCTGTGAGTGCTGGATATGTGTGTGTGCTGGGTGTGTGTGTGTACTGTGTGTATATGTGTGTGCTTTGTGTGTGTGTGTGCTGCGTGATATCGTACTGTGTGTATATGTGTGTGCTTTGTGTGTGTGTGTGTGCTGCGTGATATCTATGTGTGTGCTCTGTGTGTGCTGGGTGCTATCATAACTGTTTGCTGTGTGTGCTGTATGTGAGTGGTGTGCTGGGTGTGTATGTGTGTTTTGTGCTGGGTGTGTTGTGTGCTGGGTGTGTACGTGTGTTGTGTGCTGGGTGTGTTGTGTGCTGGTTGTGTACGTGTGTTGTGTGCTGGGTGTGTTGTGTGCTGGGTGTGTACGTGTGTTGTGTGCTGGGTGTGCGTGCGCAGGAGCATGCTTGGGGCTGTTGCTATTGCAAAGGAAAACCCCTGAGCCCTCGCCCAGCCCGTGGGCACTGGGGGATGCGGGCGGCAGGGCAGGGCTGCCCGGCTGTGCCCCAGGCTCTCACCTGCTTGATGGGGATGTCCCGGCCGCTCCCCGCGCTGTTCCCTCTCCTGTCCAGGCTTCTCTTCTCCGAATCGCTGCCCCGGCGGTTCTGCAACGCGACAACCAGCGCTTGGCAAAAGGAACATGGCCCAGGCACCCTGCCCCCAGGGGGCGCCACAGAGCCACTCCAGGGCCCCTGTGTCCTGCCCCCAGGGGGTGCCCCAGAGCCACTCCTGGGCCCCTGGGCCCTGCCCCCAGGGGGTGCCCCAGAGCCACCCCCGGGCCCCTGGGTCCTGCCCCCCGCGGGCGCCACAGAGCCACC